GTGTTTCTTGAATGCAGCATATTGTTGGATCTTGCTTCTTGACCTATTCTGCCAGTCTGTTTCTTTTGATTGGTGAATTGAGACCATTAATATTTGTTTTTGTTTTTGTTTTTTTTTGGTACCAGGGATCGAACTTGGGTCCTTGCGCTTACGAGGCAGGTGGAAGAACCACTGAGCTAAATCGCTGGCCCCATGAGACCATTAACATTGATGGTTATAACATGTACTAAAGTTAATATCTAAAATTTAAGAATATTTTGCCATAGACTTAAAAAAAAACTGACTACATTTTTTAGATATAACTGACATACCCATAAAATGTACCTCTTTAAAGTATACAATCCAGTGGGTTTTTTGGTAAATTCATGAAGTTGTATAATCACTATCTTAATTCCAGAACATTTCATCACCCCTGAAAGATACCCTGTATCAGTTAGTCCCCAAACCCACCCTACCCTAACCCCTGATGACCACTGATCTACTTTCTACCTTTAAGGTTTTGTCTCTCCCAGACATTTCATAACAATGGAATCATTTAGTATGTGGCCTTTTGTTTGGCTTCTTTCACTTAGCATGATGTTTTCAAGGTTCATCTATGCTGTGGCATGTATCAGTTGCATTTCTTGTTTTGTTTTGGGTACTGGGGATCGAACTCGGGTCCTTGCGCTTGCGCAGCGGGTGGCAAAACCACTGAGCTAAATCCCCAGCCCCTCAGCCGTTTATTTTTGTTTTTGATCATCCTAGTAGATGTAGTTGGTATCTCATTGTGATTTTGATTTGCATTACCTTGATGGCTAATGATGTTGAGAATTTTTTCATGTGCTTATTGGCCATTTGTATCTTCTTTGGAAAAGTATGTACTGTATTTTATTCAAATCCTTTGCCTCTTCCCACCCCTCTTTGTTGTACTGGGGAATCCAACCCTTGGGTGCTCTGCTACTGACCGACATCTGCAGCCCTTTTTATTTTATTTATTTATTTTATTATTTTAAATTTTTATTTATTTATTTTGGGGTGTTTTTTTTGGTACCAGGGATCAAACTCAGGACCTTGTGCTTGGGAGGCAGGTGGCAGAACCACTGAGCTAAATCTCCGACCCTATTTTGTTTTTTTGAGGCAGGGTCTCCCTATGTAGTTCAGGCCGGCCCTTAACTCACTATGTAGCCCAGGCTGGCCTCAAACTCACTCATGTAGATACTCATGCCTCAGGCTCTCAAGTGCTGGGATTATAGGTGGGGACCACCGTGCCTGGCTTCTCAGCCCTTTTTAAAACCTTATTTTGAGGCAGGACCTTGCTGGTTGCCTGCTTCAGCCTCCTAAGTAACTGGTATAAGTGTACACTACCGGGCCCAAGTAATTTACTTTCAGTTGAGTATTTCCCAGATTTGCCTCATAAAAGTCAGTAAGTGTGCTTGTTAACAATTACATTCCATTCTGATTCAACCAGATGCTGTATTTTATAATCAAGGAAATTTGGAAAATATTTTTGTACTAAAGGGTTTTACCTCTGAGAGGTTAACCTAATAGTACTTTAAATACCTGTTAGTATTCTCAATTCTTTAATTGCTGCTTTGTTTCAGGCCTATTATTAGTTCTGCTAATCTGCTAATCCCTTGACCCTTCCCCTAGTCCCACAAGCATAAAGCATCTACCATCTGTTACTCATTTCTTAGATGCACTTGACTGATAGGTAAAATTTTCCATTTTACTGCTGGGGATTTAGCTTAGTCGTTTCGAGGCTCACAAGTGCAAAGACCCGAGTTCGATCCCTGGTACCAAAAAGATTTAAAAATAAAAGATTCTGGTATAAGGATAGACTTAAAGCTTGTACATGCATAAAACAATGTATAGCCTAAAATTGAAATTTTTTTTTTTTTTGTGCTGGGGATCGAACTTGGGTCCTTGAGCTTGCAAGGTAGGTGGGGGAACCACTGAGCTAAATCCCCGGCCCTGGAATCTTCTCTTTAAATAATAATAAGCTTATAACAGATTTGAGGTAGAATCATCAAAAAAATTATTCAAATTGAAAACCTGAACTGTACATGTTTCCAGCGATGATGAACTCTGTGACCTATGTTGTTTGTAGCTTACCTAATAATGAAAAAGATGTGACTATTACATAATAGTAATGCTTACTAGGTGAGGCTTTAGTTTATTCATACACAAAAAATTTTATTACTGTAGAAGTTGTTTACAGTTTTATTGAGGTAGATACTTAATACTTTTTAATTGTCATTTTTTGGTGTGTATTTTAAGTGGTTAACACTTTAAAAATGACATTGAGCCAACATCTTAGAGCACTTTAGCTTCCAATGTATCTCAAGCTTTGATGACAGATGCATCACTATTTATTTTTTCTTAAAGTTTTTTTTTGGTACCGGGGATCAAACTCACGACCTTGCTTTTTTGAGGCAGGCGTTGGAACCACTGAGAACCCCTGGCCTGCTTAAATTATTTTTTAATATAGCCTTTCATTATGTGAGGAAAATCACTTCCATAAAATAGAAAGTTATTTTTAGGTTCTGTTGTGTATATTGTTCTAGCCGTTTATACTTTTGGGAACAGTTAGATTATTATATAACAGATTTTAAAGAGAGGCTAAAATATGCTAATGTAATCTGTATTAATCTTGAATGTCTAATGTGAGAATCACATTTATAAAAGCAATATATTACCATTTATTTAAAAAATAAGTGACCCATGATTTTAGATGTTAGATGTTAAATGTTTAGATGTTAAATTTTAGATTTAGATGTCTTAGTACTGTACTCTTCTTTTTTTTACTTTTTTCATTTTATGAAAAAATGAAACAACTTCATAACAATAATAACAGTGGTCAATATATTGTGTATTATCTTCAGAGTAGTTACTCAGGGCACAAGACATAAATCAAAAAGATTCTTATTAAAAAGAAACCATTTGTGCCGGGGATTTAGCTCAGTGGTTTCGCCTCCTGCCGCACAAGCTCAAGGACTGGATTTTGATCCCCGGTACCAAAAAAAAAACCAACCCATTTATTGGGAAATGAGAAGAAAATGTTTAAATGAGAAAAGGAGTGGGGATGGGGGAAGGAAAGAAAGGACAAGGGAAAAAAAGAGAATGGAAGGAAAAAATGGGGAGGGGAAGAGGGGTTGAAGGGAGGGGAGGGCAATGGGAAAAAAATGAAGCAAGATATATCATGTACAGGTACAAATTCCCTGTGATGAATGTTATCGTGTATATCTAAAATGTACCAATAAAACTTTTAAAACGCAAAAAATAAGAAAGAGCAAATAATGCTAAACTTTCTTTTCAGTGAACTAAAATAAACTATTAATATAAGTGAAAGTAATTAGCATACATATATTTTTTAAGTTTTTTCCAGTACCAGGAATCAAACTCAGGACCTTGTGCTTGCCAAGCAGGTGTGGTGCCACTGAGCTACATCCTTTTTAAAACAATGGAGTATATAATTTGGAGAAGTGTTTGAACTTCTCCCTATTTATTTCTCATCTGTTTTGCTCTTTATTTGGATATATATTTTATGTTTCACATATGAGAGAAGCCATGTGGGCCGGGGATTTAGCTCAGTAGTGCTGCCACCTGCCTTGCAAGCACAAAGTTCTGAATTCGATCCCCAGTACCAAATAATAATAATAATAATAATAATAATAATAATAATAATAGAAACCATGTGATATTTGAGCCTGTGTCTCTGACTTATGTCACTTAATATGTTCTCAAATTGCATCCATTTGCCTATGAATGCCTCAAGTTTATCTTTCTTTATATCAGTGTAGTACTCTGTTGTGTATAAATGCCACATTTTCCTTATCCACTCATCTGTTGATGGACATATGTGCTGTTTCTGAGTTCTAGCTATTATGAATTGTGTTCTTATAAACATGAGTGTGCTAGCGCCTGCCTGGCAAACTCAGTGCCTTGAGTTCAATTCCCGGTACGAACAAAAGAAAACAAAACAAAACGTGGTGTGCGTGTATCCCAGTAATATAATGACTTTTAACTCCTGGGAAGATACCTAGAAGGGAGATAGCTGGGTCAGCACTTACTGCTCTTATACAGGTAGCCCTAGCCTAGTCTAAATAGTTGAATATTTTTCTTATATCATTCTCATCTCTGTATAATCTTACAATTTTTTTTTCCTCATTTTGTAAAATTGTTCTCCCAGGAACTCATTTAAAACAAAATAAAAAGTTTTATTTCCTTTACTGTTTTTGAAATAATTTCTTTTCGGCATTTCAGTTTGGGAGTGTGATCAAAGCTGCCATCGTTAACATTTTGCTCTGGGTAACCATACAGCTGAAATTCTAGGTTAATTATTATATATTTTCTCATTTTGCCATCTCATTTCTCTTGATTGGGATAGGTCTATAAGAGATAACACTTCAGGTTTAAACTTCAAGGATCATCTTGAAAATCTTTTTTTTGTATTATGTGGTATTAGGGGTCAAACCCAGGAATTCGCACATGCTAGGCAAAAACGCTTTACAATGAGCTACATTCCTAGCCACTGAAAGTTTTTTCATTCTCAAAATTGTTGGCAGTGATTATCCTGTACTCTTATAAAATGAGAAGCATGTAGGCAAATAGTCAGATATTCTATCCTCTATATATCCTAAAATAATTAAGCTATTAAAATATATCCTCGACAACATTACTTATAAAAGTTTTACAAAGTGTCAAAAGGGAAACAAGAAGGAAGATATAACATGCACAGGTACAAATTTCCAATGATGAATGTGATCATAATGTATACCTAAAATGTACCAATAAAGTTAATAAAAAAAAAACCCACAACCCTGTTTAAGGTGACATAGTCAGCTGGGCGGTGGTGGTGGTGATGGAAGAAGATAGAGAAGTTGTTTCTAATGCTTTTACTGTAATGTAACACACAGGGTCTTCATTAAATAACTAGTCTTTCTTAGTTTTGTTTTTTCTTTTGTGACAGATAAAACCTTATTAAAGTATCTCAACATTCCTTGAACACTAAAAAAAAAAAAAAGTGTCCAAAGGCAAAGTTTTCTTTAAAAATGTAAATCTTATAATAGAAAATTAAAGTTTTTTCCTTTTTTCTTTTTTTTTTTTTTTTGAGACAGGACTGTGTAGTTCAGGTTGACCTTGAACTCATTAAGTAACCCAGGCTGGCCTTGAACTCAGTGATCCTCCTGCCTCAGCCTCCAGAGTGCTGAGATTACAGATGTGAGCTACCATACCTGGTGTTTTACACTTATTAACCAGTGATATTTTGCTGCCTATTTATGAATAAGCACATTTTATTTTAATTTTATTCGGTACTGGAGATCGAACTCGGGACCTTGAGCTTGCAAGGCAAACATGATGCCACTGAGCTAAATCCCCGGCCCTATAAGCACATTTTATATCCCAGTTTAAGATATAGGGAACAGATCAAAACACTGGGTTCCAGTCTCTTACCAGAAGTCTGCTGTGAGGAGGAAAGCTTTTAGTAATTTTATAGATCAGTTCAAATTCTTTATGCTAGCTGAAGAAATAAAACATAACGTCTTAAAGTGACTAGCAGAATGAATCTCTTCAAATGATCCAAATGATCAATTACTTTTTTGTCCATCCTCACAGGATTCATGGTCATGAAGGGAGAGTTTAAACATGCCAAATATCAGTTCAAGTCAGTATTGTCTTGTTTATTTAAAAAGATGAGTGTAAAAGTAAATGGCTTTGCTTTAGTTCGTTTTTCATGTTGGCTGTATTAGATGTTATTGGAAAACAATTGGAATTATTCCTGGCATTACTAATGAAAATTATATTTTAAAGTCCTACTTTAATTAAAACAGTCGTTTCTTTTCTTAATGACTTATAGATGAAACCAGCCTGTATAAAAGCCCTTACTCGTATATTTAAAATCTCTGATCAAGATAATGATGGTACACTCAATGATGCTGAACTCAACTTCTTTCAGGTAGCTGTCTTCAGTTTCAGACATTTGTATCTCTTTGTTCTTTGCTGATAAAAGCTATAAAAAATTTTAAAAAGCTATAAAAGTTTATTATCTTAACAACATGTTGATAAAGGTTTATTTCTTTCATGTAAAAGTATCTTTTATATCAAGCTATTTAAGCCTTAGGATATTAAAAAACTCTCTTATCCTGTGCATTAAAGGGACTCTGATAGTTTCATTTCATGGTATATAATAAGTGTATTAAGGATGAATTAAAGTCTGAACTCTGAATCATTTTGCTTTTTTGGTTTTGTATAACATAGCCACACAAAGAACCTTATGTTTTAGAGGCAGGATGGGGGGGGTTGGGAAATTTTTTCTAAGTATGACAGTTTTTACTTAATACAAAGTAGAGGCTGTCTGAATTTAGAATTTGTTTCTTCTGGTTGTGACTGATTTGATTTAATGTTGCTTTGTAGATTATTACTATATATTTTTGATTTTACTGTTGGTGGATTTTAAGATTTATCTTTGTGTCTTTTTGCTAGAGGATTTGTTTCAACACTCCATTAGCTCCTCAGGCTCTGGAAGATGTCAAGAATGTAGTCAGAAAACACATCAGTGATGGTGTGGCTGACAGTGGATTGACATTGAAAGGTAGGTGACTAGTGTTTTTCTGCCCCTTTGAACTTAATATTTTTGAAATTTGGCAATAGATAAGTCTTTATAACATTATTTATACTTTAAAGAAATGTTAGTATTTACTAACAAACCTAAAGTCTAACTTGAATAATTAAAGAGTTTACTGTCAGTATAAATTAGAGGTAGGAAAATTGGTTGGACCTCAGGGATGCCCTCCATCTGAGGGAACGAGATGTCTAGAACAAAACAAATGTATCTTAAAATCCTTCCTTCTAAAAAAAAATCTTCAAACAAATTATTTTTAGGGAATTTTGTCTGAGTCAAATTTACCAAGTATAGAATGTGCTCTGTTGAATATATTGCAGACAGCCACAGTAAAATAAGAAATGAAATTGAAATTGAGAATTTTCCACTGTAAAAATAAGATCAGCCATCTGTAAAACATTTTCATATCATAAAACTTGGTGAACATCAGTGTAGTCCCTGTAATTTTGGCCCTTTCATCTTGTACTTGCTAAATTGGGTGTTTATGTGAAACAACTGAAATGAACTGTCTTTCATTGAAGCACTTGTGAACTTTTTTTGTCTTCATGATGAGAGCTAATGTATATATTTTCACAAATGTAGCTCTTGCTGTTATATGTAATTTTTTTCTGTGTGACTGACTCTTTGCCCTTCACATCAGCTGTATTTACTGGTTTGCTTTATTTCAGGTTTTCTCTTTTTACACACACTTTTTATTCAGAGAGGGAGACACGAAACTACTTGGACTGTACTTCGACAATTTGGTTATGATGATGATCTAGATTTGACACCTGAATATTTATTCCCCATGTATGTACCTTTGGTTTTCTAATTGATTTCACTTACCAAGTGTTAAGTTATGTTTAGCATAGGTAGGTAGGCTGCAAGCTGCTCAGGAATAATTTAGAATTACAAGCAAAAATTTGTAGCAGAAAGCCAAGTGTGGTTGTGCATGCCTGTAATCCAGCACTCGGTAGGCTGAGCAGGAGGTCTGCCATGAGTTCAAGTCCAGCCTGAACTATACAGCAAGGCCCTGTCTCAAAAAAAAAAAAAGGGTAGCAGAGTTTCTAAGCCTCGGCACTACATTTTAGACCAGATAATTCTTTGTTGTAGAGCCTTTCGTGTGCATTATGTGATGTATAGTATATCCTTAGATGTTAGTAACACCTCCTCTGGTTTTTTGTCTTTTTTTTTTTGTTTTGGTACTGGAGATCAAACTCAGGACCTTGCGCTTGGGATGCAGGCACAGTGCCACTGAGCTAAATCCCCGGCCCTCCTCTGCTTTTGACAACCAAAAATGTCTCCAGAAACTGCCAAATGTCCCTTAGAAAGCAAAATCATCCACAGTTGAAAACCACTGATTTATAGCATGGCTCAGTGTTTTCTTCTCATGGAGAATACAGGTACCTTTTTTTTGGGGGGGGTACTGGAGATCGAACTCGGGTCCTTGCGCTTGCAAGGCAGGCAGTGAAACCACTGAGCTAACTAAATCCCCGGCCCCTAGGTATCCTTTTGTAAAAAAATCACTTTACAAAAGAAGGAGAAAAAGAAATGCAAAGTAAGCTTGTTCTTGGAATCAAGAGGTCAGAATTATGTTGGTTAGCATTTTTACTTGCTTTTTTTTTTTTTTGGTACTGGGAATTGAACTTAGAGCCTCATATTTGCCAGGCAGGCATTGTGCTGCTGAGCTACATTCCTGGCCCAGCGTTTTCCCTTTCTTTCATCAGGTTCTTTAGTTTTATAGATTGATATTAGCTCAGGATAAAATAAGTATTTTTCCTAGATAACTTGCCTGTCTGTGCTTATTTTTCTTTAATAATGCTATTTATGTTGTTTTAAAAATCCTCGGTACCAAAATAAATAAAAATTTAAAAAAATAAAATAAAAAAGGACCCGCCTGGTACCACCCCACATAGAAGACTGCCTTTTTGCATGCTATTTCTTCTCTACCCTGAGGAAGCAGGCTTCTCATGGATTCTAACTTCCCAAGATCTGGCCTTGGAGTCTTCTTCCTCCCTTTGTCAGTGCCACATCACCTTCCTGGTGTCCTTTTGAATTTTGAGTAGCACCTCCAGCTGTCTAGGTAATGGTTCAGAAAGACTTAATTGTTTTCTCCTCCCCCATCATTAAGGAAGCAGAGTATTTTCTGATTAGATTCCTATTCCATTCATCAGTTCTAAGTTGGAACTTTGGTTGTCTAAGGTACTAAATCTTGGCTCAAGTTAATTTTCTGGTTTTTTGGGGGTTTTTTGGTACCGGGGATCACACTCGGATCCTTCCGCTTGCAAGACAGGCAGTGGAACCAGTGAGCTAAATCCCCAGCCCAATTTTCTGGGTTTTTTAACAAATACATACTGAACGAGGCTGAGAGTAGTGGTGTACACACCTGTAACCCCAGCACTTAGGAAGCTGAGGCAGAAGGATTTCTGTGAGTTCAAGGCCAGCCAGGACTACATAGTGAGACCTTGTCATAAAAAAGAATGAATGGCTTTGTCCTAGAACCCTTTCACAAAGTTTTATTTTCTATGCTATTTAGGTGGGTAGGTAACATTCTTCAGGAAGTTGCTTATTCCTTTTTTAAATAGTACAGAAAATTCCATCTCTTAAGACTTTGTGGCTTAATCATTTGTTTCAGTTTCCTTGTATTCTCTGCCTCTAATTTTCTTTTTCTTTTTCTTTTTTTTTTTTTGTTTTGGGGATCGAACTCAGGACCTTGCACTTTTTAGGCAGGCGGCGGCACCACTGAGCTAAATCCCTGGCCCTAATTTTCTACATAGTAGCCCCCTAGAGTCACCATTTGAATCTCTCTGCTTTCTTATTAAACGCTTTCTTCTGTCCTTCAAATTGTTGCTAGATTTTTTTTCCTGAACCGGGAATTGAACTCAAGACCTTGCACTTGCCAGGTAGGTGCCGCGCCACTGAGCTAAGTCCCTGGCCCTATTGCTAGATTTTTATCACCCTGCCCAAAATTGGCCTTGAAGGCCTGGGGATCTAGCTTAGTGGCACCGCACCTGCCTGGCAAGGGTCCTGAGTTCGATCTCTGGTACCAAAAAAAAGAAACTTCACAAAATTGGCCTTGTCACCTCTCTTTGAGATGCAGTATGAAATCCAAGCTTCTTAACATGGTATCTGAGGTCATTCATGATCAGCTCTGCTCAGCTGCTCAGCTCTGTCTTCATTCTAAGAGTAAATGACTATTTATAGTCCACCAAAAGTGTAGGTTGTTTCCTAGTCCTGGCTTTTTCCCATGTTGTTTTCATTCTCTCCCTTCTTCCCCCACACTAATACCTCATCCTTCATCAGTTACAGTGACTCTTAGTGGTGCTGATACCTTCCCACCCCCCAGGCCAGATGTCCCCTTTCATGGGGTTCCCCTGGCAATCTTAGCTTACATGCTTAGCACTAGCCTCATTCTGTTAAGATCTGCCTGTGGTCTACAGTGAATGTAGCTCCTTAGAAGTAGAGACTGCCATTATCAAAAAGACAATAACAAATGTTAGTGAGGATGCAGTGAAAGGGAAATTGTTATATACTGTTGGTGAGAATGCAAATTAGTATAGCCATTATGGAAAAATAGTGTGGAGTTCCTCAGAAAACTGAAAACTAAGTTACCATATGATCCAGCAATCCTACTGCTGACTGTATATCCAAAGAAAATAGAATCCTGTTTCAGGAAATGCCTGCACTCCCATTTTTATTGCAGTACTAGTCACAGTAGCCAGTATCGAATAATAGCCAGTATAGAACCAACCAAGGTGTCCATCTGTGGATGAATGAATTTTTTTTTTTTTTTGGTACCAGGGATTGAACTCCAGTCCTTCTGCCTGCGAGGCAGGCGGCGGAACCACTGAGCTAAACCCCCAGCCCTGAATTTTTAAAAGTAGTACACACAAACACCCCAGAATATTATCCAGCCTTTAAAAAGGGTGAAATCCAGTCATTTGCAACAACATGGACATAGAACTCCAGAACATTTTTTTTTTTTTGGTACTGTGGATCAAACTTGGGACCTTGCACTTGCGAGGCAGGTGGCGAAACCACTGAGCTAAATCCCCAGCCCACAGAACATATTTTTAGGTGAAATACAAGGAAAACACAGAAAGACAAATACCATACGTTGTTACTCTTTTGTGGAAGCTAAAAAAGTTAGTCACAAAGAGGTAGAAAGTAGAATGGAGTTCACTGGAGGCTAACAAGACAGAAGAGGGAGGGAAGACAGGGTTAATAAGGTGTATCAAATTTCATTTGTAGATGAATTAGTTGTGACATTCTGTAGCAATGTAGGGTAACTGTAGTTTACAATTCATTATACATTTTAAATAACTGGAGGGAAGGAATTTGAAGGTTTCCAACACATAGAAATGATAGTATTTGAGGGGTTTGAAATGCTAATTACCTTGATTTGATCATATAGTATCAAATGATAATACTGTATCCCACAAATAAGTATAATTATTATATGTCAATTAGAAATAAAAATTTTAAAAATTAGTGGGTAACCTGTCTTGTTTTCATCTCTCTAGTACCTAGCTCAGTGCATTTGATTAATGTTTATTGATATGAGTTTTGGGTCAAAAAGGCCAAATCAGATGGAAATAACATCTCTTCACATCATCATTTTCACCTCATTACAATGGTGGCCTTATATAAAGCCCATAATTATGACTTAAAAGTTAATAGGAAAAATACCCATTACCATTTAATCAGTATTGTTTGTAAAATTTTTCTTTCAAACTGCCCTTGTGATATTTAGGAAAAATCTGCATGCCACTTTGGCATAAGCATTATTATGATTCCTCAGAGCAGTGCCATAACCACTCCGGAGGGTTTCCCTGGGAAGGTCTGAATGGTCCCAGTGAAGATTTCCTTGCTGATACGTCCCTGGTTCAGTACGGGCCGCCACAGAGACACAACGGGCAGGGGGTATTTCCTTTCTCATCCTCCTCAACAGTGAAGATGCTTTTGTAAATGATCTCGTTTCACAGAAAGACATTTCAATTTTGTATTCATTTCTTAATTAAATTTTAATATTTGATTAATGGTTTATTGTATTCTTAAATTTTTTCATCACCAGGCTGAAAATACCTCCTGATTGCACTACTGAATTAAATCATCATGCGTATTTGTTTCTCCAAAGCACCTTTGACAAACATGATTTGGTAAGCTTTTAGCTCTGGAAGTAGTAAAAATATTTTCTGCTATTATTTTTATTGTTTTCTCATGATGAAAAAAATAATTCTGATAGACTTGTAGGTTTCTTATCTATTTATGAGGAATTTTCTTCATAAAATATAAAATTTCTTACAGTTTTTAGAAGAATAGCTTTACTAGGTGAGGGGGCTGATGTTTTGGGAATTGTTCTTTTAGAGATCTAAGTATTATGTATGCTTCCTTGTGTGTATCTTCAGGATAGAGACTGTGCTTTGTCACCTGATGAGCTTAAAGATTTATTTAAAGTTTTCCCTTACATACCTTGGGGGCCTGATGTGAATAACACAGTTTGTACAAATGAAAGAGGTTGGATAACCTACCAGGGATTCCTTTCCCAGTGGACGTAAGTATAGTTCTCACCTCTTCTCTAAAATCACAGCTGGTATAAAATTATGGTATATTTGTCATTTTGTAAGTTTGTCTGATCTTAAGAAATGCTTTGATTATACCTGCTCCTAATGAGTATTTGTAGTACTGCTAAATATCTCTAGATGAACTATAAATGTTCTATAAATTTATCAGGAAGGGCTTTTCTTTTGGATGATGTATTGGGAAACAGTAGTAAGTCTTACATCAAAACTGAACTAAATTTTAGTACTTTTTGTTTGGTTAAGAAAATTGGACATATCATTGCTATTGTACAATTCTTACTCCAACATATGGGCAGATGCATATTTTACTGGACTCTGAAGACATATTGTATTATTTGTTGTTATTGTGTTTGTTTGTTTTCACAGTGCTGGGGATTGAACCCAGGGCCTTGTTCATGATAGGCAAGTGCTCTACCACTGTTATATCCCCAACCTGTGTTATTTGGGTTTTTGTTTGTTTGTTTCTTGTTGTTTTGAGACAGGGTCTCCCTTTGTAGTTCAGGCTGGCCTCGAACTCATTATGTAGCCCCTAGGCTGGCCTCAAACTCACAGGGATCCTCCTGCCTCAGCCTTCCAAGTGCTGAGATTATGGGGGTACGCCACCACACTTGGCATGTTTTTCTTTTAATGAACTCTTAGTAAGTTTTAATGAGGATTTCTCGACAGCTTCATTATAAACTGGTTGACATTGAGCCTAGGATGTTAAGGGAACCCTCTGGTCTTGTACAACAACATACCTATGATAGCCTTGGTAACACTAACTCTTCAACATTAGATTCAGTTTTTTCAACTACATTTTAAAAAGCCAGCTAATTTCAGGTGCCTTACAGTTGTTTTTATGATTTTATTGAACCTTTTCAGAGTTGTTTAATTATCGTTGTCTTCAGCTAGTTAATATTTGCAGGACATTGTGTGCTGACTTGGAAAACAGATAGTATAAACTATTCCCCTGTAAATTTTTTTTTTGGTTTGAGGATTGAACTCGGGACCTTGCGCTTTCGAGGCAGGCGCCCGAACCACTGAGCTAAATCCCCAGCCTCCCCCTGTAAATTTTACCAGCTCCTCACTGCGTATCTGTATGGCCTTGCTTTCTCCAGCCAGTGAAATAAGCAGAGGAATTTGCCCCCATCTTGCATTGTCCCCACTTCTTTTTCTTCTTTAAGAATGGCAGTGTAGGGGTCGGGGATTTAGCACAGTGGTTTCATGGCCTGCTGTGCAAGCTCTAGGACCCGAGTTCGATCCCCTGTACCCCCCCCCCCAAAAAAAGAATGGCAGTGTAGGAAAGGCCATGGTTGGGCACATAGGAAATTCAAGCAATGAGGCACACATTATCTGAGTTTGGTGGTTAACATTTTTTGGGTTGTGGGATTTTTGTTCTGTGAACGTTCACTGAGGAACTTTTCACCTTGTAAGCTCTTCTGTTTTCTTAGGCTCACGACGTATTTAGATGTTCAGAGATGCCTGGAGTATTTGGGCTATCTAGGTTATTCCATATTGACTGAACAAGAGTCTCAAGCTTCAGCCATTACAGGTAAGCATCTAGATACTATTCACTTCATGGTTAGGAACATTTTTTTTTTTTGGTAGCAGGGATCAAACTCAGGACCTTGTGCTTGCGAGACAGGTGCGGCACCACTGAGGAAAATTCCCAGCCCCCAAGAACATTTTTTTTTGTGTGCCAGGGATTGAACTCAGGACGTTGCACTTGCGAGGTAGGGTGGTGCCACTAAGCTAAATCCCTGGCCTGCAAGAACATTTTTTTTTGAAGACTCCAATTTTAAATGTTACAGAGCAAAAATAAACTCATTTTCATTAGTCTTCCAAGTCTACACTTACTAGTTTTCTTCATGATTTGGAAATATCTTTTGAACTGAGATGCTTGACTTTATTCTTTATCAAAAAAGAGAGTAGGGCTGGGGATTTAGCTTAGTGGTTCCACTGCCTGCCTGCCTCGCAAGCACAAGGTCCCAGGTTTGATCCCTGGTACCAAAATAAAAAAAAGAGAGTAGAATTTTTGCATCTAGTCTACGCCCTGGGGTACCTCCCGGTAAAAATGAAGGAGAGCTTTGGGCATTAAACGATTTACCAGTCTATCTTATATTTTAATTTGCTTTAAACATTAAAAACAATACCTCTTAACATATGGTCTTGATCTGGAACTAATTATACATCTCTCACTTCTGTAACCTTGTTCCTTAATAAATCTTTAACAAATCTTGTGGTATAAATCACACTTTCTTGCAAAAGCACTGTGCTCTACCTAAAGAAAACCCACAGGTATGGAGATCACAAATTTAGGGATCGTTTCAGGAGTTTCTTCTATCCCAATTGATGGAAAATCTGCCCTATCTTATAAGAAGCCAGAACACAGCCTTTCTTCAAGTACCCTTTAAAGTGCTTAACCAATTACACAGTATTTAATTCAGCCCTAGAAAGTAAGAAACTAATTTCTAGACAGCCACGAGATTCTTTCACTCAACAACATATTGTGGGCATCTTTTTATATTGGTAAGTATACTTTTATATATCTTGAATGTGAAATAATATGTCATTGTATGGATGTTCTATAACTTTAACCATCATAATTATTTTGTCTTTTTAATCATTCTCAGTTTTTGCTACAGGTAATAGGCCCTCTGGTGAGCTCCACCATAGTTGCGTCTTTGGGCATAGTCTCTGTCTCAAGAAGAGATACCCATTGACACAGTGTCATTTTCTAGCCTGCCTGTTTTTCAGATTTACACGTGAAAGGCCAGCCAAGCTCAGAGTACAGATCCCCTCCCCGTGTGTAGATCCAGCTCCAAGATGGTGCAGATTTGAAGTAGCATCTTGTACTTCATAAGTGTGATAAAAGGGCCAGGGGATTTAGCTCAGTGGTTTCAACGCCTGCTATGCAAGCGCAAGGACCCGAGTTCGATCCCCGGTACCAAAAAAACAAAACAAAAAACATAATTATGATAAAAGTGTATTACAGAAAAAAATTAAGTGAGATGTAATTTTTATTCATTTTTAGATACTATTTATTTTATGAAATAAATATCATTTGGTTACTGGAGATTCACTTTGCAGTCAACTTTCAGAAATGTATTTTTCCCACTGAGTGATACATTATATTTACAGATAGTTTGTTATGGTTTTTTTCTTTTTTAAACAGGATCTTGCTGTGTAGTCCAGACTGGCCTTGAACTCACTACAATCCTCCTTCCTCAGCCTCCTGAGTGCTGGAATTATAGGTGTGCTCCACCACACCTGGCTTAATACATTGTATTTAGTACTTTTTTTCACATACAGCTTCACTGTTGTGTAGTATGTTTACTTATAGATCTAACACTTCATGAAAGTGATAAATAACAATACCTTATTTTGTAGAAGGTGGAATGGAGGCTCAGTGAGTCTAACTGGTATATATTTAGGTTTTTGTTTTTGTTTTTTAGTAACAAGAGATAAAAAGATAGATCTGCAGAAGAAACAGACTCAAAGAAATGTTTTTAGATGTAATGTAATTGGAATGAAAAGCTGTGGGAAAAGTGGAGTTCTTCAGACTCTTCTTGGAAGAAACTTAACGGTAAGAGTTGGAAATATAGAACTTTGTCTAACAAATTTTTATAGTCATGAATTTACATGATTTTTATAGCCATTAATCTTTTTAGATAATTATTAGAATACATTGGCCTACATATTTTAGTAAAATATACCAAAAAATGGAATAGTAATCTTGTTGAACTATCTTTATCCTATTTCATGGGTGTTAGCTACTGTTTGTCCTTTTTACATTTTTAAAAAAATTAATTAGTTAATTTTTTTTTTCTGGTACTGGGGACCGAACTCAGGACATTGCACTGGCAAGGTAGGCACAGTGGCACTGAGCTAAATCCCCAACCCCTAAATGTCCTTTTTTTAAAAAAAAAAACTGGGCTGGGGATTTAGCTCAGTGGTTCCGCTGCCTGTTTCGCAAGCACAACAACCCGAATTTGATCCCCAGTACCAAAAAAAAGTTAAACAAAAAAAAACCAAACTGATGTTTAGCCAGTGGTGGTGGTGTACGCCTGGAAACCCAGTACTCAGGAGGCCGAGACAAAATGAAACTCTGTCTCAGAAAAGCAAAAAAAAAAAATTGCCATTTAGATGGGGAGTAGATGACTACACATATGAAGCACCTAACACAGTGCTCGATATAGCCATGTGTGGTGGCACACACCTATAATCCCAGCACCTGCGAGGCTAAGGCAGGAGGATTGCTGGGAGTTTGAGGCCAGCCTGGGCTACATAGTGAGCTCAAGGATAGCGTGCACTTTAGGGCAAGACCCTGTGTCAAAAACAAAACAAAACAAAAGCAGTAAATGCACAGTAAAGCTTTAAAATTGAATACGAATTCTAACTACTCACATAAGTAAGACTGATGATATATTCCCATGTATCATGATGAGTCCCATATCAGACCAGGTTAGAATATAATGAGAATTACCAGCAGGTGGCTTGAACTCAGGACATAGTGCTTGCCAGGCAGGTGGAGCGCCACTGAGCTACCTCCCTGGCTAGAATATACTTTTAATAATACAGTTTACTTCCTTTTCGGCTGCTGCTTTCACTTTATGCAGAACGAACATCTTTTGTCGTAGACTCTAAGAACTAAGAAAAATAGATTCAGTGTACATTTTATGCTGACAAATAGTAAATAGTGTAGAAAAGAGTACTCTTTCATTTATAATCATCCATACATACACACTGATTTGTGGGTGTGTTGATGAAAACTAGTTCCTGTTATTTCTAACTGTAAATACTGAGATTTTTTGGTTCTATTTTCAGAGGCAGAAGAAAATTCGTGATGATCATAAATCTTACTATGCAATCAACACTGTTTATGTGTATGGACAGGAGAAATACTTATTGGTAAGAAATTTGTGGTACAAGGTTTTGATTGTTGGGTACATTTTTAAATGACTGAAACAATGACTTTATTTAACAGATGATGTAGGCCTGTGTGGTTTTATTTTTCTCTTCTGTATTCATTGTAGTGTTAAGTCCTTTGATCTATGTGATGATTACACGGGCATAGATACAAGTAAAAATCCATCTGTTTGTACCCTTAATTATATGCTATACCACAGTAAGAAACTAAAACAAAAAAATGAACTTCTCTTTTAATCTTTCTTCCATGTCTATTTTATTTTATTTTGTGTTTGTTTTAAGGGTTTTTCTGGTTTTGTTTTGTTTTTTTTGTACCAGGGATCAAACTCATGACCTTGCACTTGTGAGGCAGGCATGGTGCCACTGAGCTAAATCCCTGGCCTTGTGTTTGTTTTTTGAGACAGAGTCTTGGTATGTAGTTCAGCCTGGACTTAAATTTAAAGCAGTCCTCCTGCCTCAGCCTCTTCCATGCTGGGCTTATAGGTGTGCTCCACCTTGCCCGGCTTCTTTCTTCCATTTTGATTTTTTTTTTTTTAAATTCCACTTCTGGCCAGGCATGGTGGCACACACCTGTAATACCTCCCAGCACTTAGGAGGCTGAGGCAGGAGGATTGCCACAAATTCAAGGCCAGCCTGGGCTACATGGCAAGACCTTGTCAAAAAAAAGATTTCTAGAACCGGAGATTTAGCTCAGTGGTTCCACCACCTGCCTTGAAAGCACAAGGTCCCAATTTCCATCCCTGGTACCAAAAAAAAAAATTTCTACTTTTGCTAACTAAAATTAATTTGAAAACAATGCTGGCCAGGGATTTAACTCAGTGGTTCTGCCACCTGCCTTGCAAGCACAAGGACCTGAGTTTGACCCCATACCAAAAAAAAAAAGAAAAGAAAACAGTGCTGGTGCTTTTAGTTTATAACCCGAAAAAAATGTACAAAAGAAGAAAGCCGGTGTGGTGGCTACACCTGTAATCTCAGCACTCAGGAGGCAGGAGGATCACTGCGAGTTCGAGGTAGCCTGGGCTACATAGTGAATTCAAGGCTAGGCTGAACTACATAGCGGGAGCCTGTCTCAGACAAACAAAAAAGTATGAAAGAAGCATCTCACTAAATAGAGACTGTGAAATACAGTAGAAAGAGGTCATATGTTTTCCTTGGATCCAGTCATTGCAATTTCAGCCTTGGTCCACCTTGATTAGTTGTGTGACCTCAGGCAGTGGCTTATTCTTTCTGAGCCTAAATTTCTTTAATATAGCTCCTCAATAAAAGGGTGTGGTGCCGCATGCCTATAATCTCGGCACTCAGGAGGCTGAGGCAGAAGCATCACAGAGAGTTGGTCCACCTCACCATAGTGAGGCCCTGTCTCAAAAAAAAACCCAAAAAACTAAAGTTCCTAAGAATAGACACTAGAAAAAGTTCATTCTCCATTTTGGAAATTTTTTTTTTTTTTTAGATAATCACATTGAATGTTACACGTGTTTTACTCTGATAGTTCCCATTGTCTTATTAAACCTTGTTTGGCTCCTGTTTTTCTCCTGTAAACATAATTCTAAATATTTGGTACTTAGTAAATATTTTTGGCTAATTTTCCAGTTTTCTTATTTTTACACTGTTGTTTATCAGTCATACCTTTCATGTCTGTGGTTATGCATGCTGTAGTAATGGTTGTTTTGGGTTTTTTTGTACCAGAGATGAAACTCAGGACTTTGCACTTTTGAGGCAGGTGGCGGAGGCGGCACCACTGAGCTAAATCCCCGGCCCCTGTTTTGTTTTGTTTTTGTACCGGGATCAAATTTGGGACCTTGTACTTGTGAGGCAGGTGGCGGAACCACTGAGCTAAATCCCGGGCCACTGTAATACTATTTTATTTGGAACATGTCAAGTCCCTGCTGGCTCTGTACTTCCCCTTTTATCTTCTTACAAATATGCACTATCTTGTTTAATTTGGGATTGAATTTTCTTTTGTTGGATCATCATCATATCATAGATGGGATATTTAAGAAGTTTCACAGGGCTAAAGATGTGACTTGGTGGTAGAGTGTTTGCCTAGCATGCGCAAAGCTCTGTGTTCCATCTTCATCACTACAAAAGTTTTGTAGTAAACACTGGAAAGGGTAGGCAGTAAAATACAACAAAGTGACCTGTGTGTGAAGAGTCATTTGCTTTGTGTTTTTGATAGTGAGGGAAAAAAGGTAGAGAGGTAGAAAAGCAAATACACTTGGCAGTCATATCTGAGTTCTAATTTCGGTCTGAAGACTTCTTATATATGTTATCTTTGTAATTGGCTTAATCCTCTGGCCTGTCTCCTTATCTGTAGTGTGGATACTGGAAGAAAGGGCCGGTACAGGGCACATTAGTCACTAAACATAGCTTCTGGACAATCTCAGTCACCATTTTTAAAATCTACAAAATCAGAAGATACTTGTTTACATTTTTACCTTTTGAAATAGTTTTAAAAGTTACGTGTAAATAATGGTTTTTTATTAGGAAGTCCAGTTGAGCAAGTCATAAAACATCCTGACTTCATATATCAACATTATGATACTTATGTTTCTGATTTATCTTTTTCTTTTTACAAGTTGCATGACATCTCAGAATCGGAATTTCTGACTGAGGCCGAGATCATTTGTGACGTTGTATGCCTGGTGTATGATGTCACTAACCCCAAATCCTTTGAATACTGTGCCAGGATTTTTAAGGTTTGTTGTTCTTATAGACTATGATTAAATGTAACTTTATATGGCATTTTAATAGAATTTCAGTATGTTGTTTCCTAATCAGAAGAATGTGATAAAATCATTTGTGGAGCTTTAAAAAATATATACATCTTTACCATGTACCAAGTTTCTAGTTTCATTCTTCAATGAAATAGAATAAACATACACTTTTTAAAAACAACTTTTATTCCACATGTGACTGTGATAAACATTCCTGGTTAAGAACTTTTGTGGTAAAGGAATATCTTCTTGGCTGTTAGGAATGCATATGGATAATATATTGCCACTTATCCCAAATATAGCAGCCAGAGCAACGGTATAAACCAGAGGCTTAGAAAGTATATCAGTCCTGCTGGGTGTGGTGGTGCAGGCCTGTAACAGCACTTGGGAGGCTGAGGCAGGAGGATCACTTTGAGTTTGAGGCCAGCCTGAATTGCATAGTAAGACCCTGTCTCAAAAAACAAAACAGAAAAAAAGTATATCAGTCCCTTTGAGATTAAGATTCAGTAGGACAGGGCTGGGGATTTAGCTAAGTGGTTCGACCGCCTGCCTTGCAAGCACAAGGACCAGAGTTCGATCTCCAGTACCAAAAAAAAAAAGATTCAGTAAGACAAAAAAGTATGTACAAAGATACAGCCTAACATTATTTGTAATAGCAAAAAAACTGGAAGTAATTCAGTTATCTAACACTAGGAGGATAATTTCCAAATTAAGATAAAATAATCTAGCAGAATATTAAAGAACTATTAAAAACAATAATTTTGAAGAAGGGAGAAGATACAGTATTACATTTTAAATTAGTTATGTCTGGCATGACTTCAACTGTAAAAATACATATACATACACATATATATGTCAAGGACTAGAGATAATACAAAAAATGAAATAGTCTTTATTATAGAAGTTGGGTAGATTTCCCTTTATTTCAAAATGATTATTATATCTTTTTACTTTTAAAAGCATGTGAATCTGTTACCCGCATTAGAAAAGTGGTCCTAATCATATTTATTTTATGAAACTGACTACACTGTCTCCAAATTGCCTTTTGGTTCATTTTCTGTGTTTGAAACTATTGTTACTTTGCCTATCCAGAGAAAATTTTTAGTTCACATTTAATCAAATAGTAATTCTTTAACTTGTCATTGGATTTTGACTTCATTTTTTATTCCATAGCAACACTTCATGGATAGCAGAATACCCTGCTTAATCGTAGCTGCAAAATCAGACCTGCATGAAGTTAAACAAGAATATAGTATCTCACCTACTGATTTCTGCAGGAAACACAAAATGCCTCCACCTCAAGCCTTCACTTGCAACACTGCTGATGCACCCAGTAAGGATATCTTTGTTAAACTGACAACAATGGCCATGTACCCGTAAGTACTTGCTCTGTCTTCATTTCATGTTGCATGGTTCATAATAACATTGCATGCCATTATTAGCCACAAGGTGGGAGTCTTGTCACATAGAAGTTGTTCAGCAACAGAAAGAGACTTTGTAATGAGAAGACACAAATTTAAACAAATGCAAGTTTGATTTGGGTGCCATAATAATATAAACATTGTTTCCAACAATATTTGTATATTTTTGACTGCCTGTAGCTCTCTTAACAAGATAGTACAGTATAGCACAGCCTCCCATTCAGCATTAAAAAGATAAGTCTTGGGCCGGGGATTTAGCTCAGTGGTTCTGCCACCCTCGAAGGTGCAAGGTCCTGAGTTCGATCCCAGTACCAAAAAAAAAAGTCTTGAGCTGGTGTGGTGGTGCATGCCTGTAATCTCAGCGCTCCGGAGGCTGAGGCAGGAGGATCGCTGTGAGTTTGAGGCCAGCCTGCACTATCAAACGAGATCCTGTCTCAAAAACAAAACAAAACAAAAAAGACTTAGTGCAATAAAATAGGGTTGGCATCATGTTGCTTTATCCTTATAAGGCATTTCCATACACAAAGTTCTTTTTTTATATTTATCTGTCTTATTATTTGACCTGGGGTATGTGAAAGATTAAAATATTTTTTTTAAATTTATGGTGAATTTACTTTTATGTTTGAATCCAGGATATAGAATGTCTTTAAGTGTTATAAAAAGTACTTGTAATTGGAAATTTCGTTATATACATGTTTTGCATTAAGTGTTATAAGCCACACATTTCATGTACATTTATTATATATCTATACATGCATATGTACAAGCATGTAATTGTGGATATCTTTGTAGCTTACTAACTGCTTTAAAATTGCATGATTCTTAATGGCATTCTCCTCAAGTAGAGTGTTTGTGTAAGTTCTGTTTTGTAATGAGATGGTTTTTCAGGCAGTGCGTTTCTCAGGACTTCATAGCATATTCTATTTATTGTTAGGTTAGTCTCTAAAATATTTTTCATCATGAAAACTAGTATAAAATAAAGTAATAATTAAACATTGCTATAAATCAAGGCTGTTTTTCCAGAAAGGTGTTTAATTTGTAGATTTTTTAAATCAGAGTTAACTTTACTGTTATTCAGTTAACTAATGCTTTAAAAAATACAACAAACCTTTAAATTTCTATTTGTATTGGAAGACAAGTCATTCCTATTAATATAAGTTAAGCAAAACCTCATTTATGTTTCACCTCTGCTTTAAAACTCTCATGTATGTTATCTACAGAGAGGATCATTACAGAGACAGACTCTCCCGAGACTTGGGCAACACTGATAGAATAGAGAATTTGAGAAAAATCTGGGTCTTTCTAAAAACTGCTTTGTAAGTTACTTTTTCTTTATGACTTCTGTGGGATTTTTGTTTACATTTTCTTATAGGATGACCAAATCTCCTTTCCTGCTATAATTAACATTTAGTAATTATCTAGAAACGCACTGCTTGTCAGGCTTATTGCCTAACTGTATATTATGGTGTCTTTTTAATGATTTAAGTGTACTTTTTAATCTGCATCTGTTTTTAGATCCACATCTCTAAAACATTTTACTGTAATTCTTGTGTGTGTATATATGATAAATGTACATACATGGATACTTGTTCATATGGTTAATCCCAAACTACTTCTCATGAAGCATCTCCCTGTTGCTAAGCATACTTTGCATCTCCTTTTTGGTGGGTGGAGCCTTGTATATGTTAAAGAGTCAGATTCAATTTATAAAATAACAGATGGATTCCAGTATGACAGCTCTTAGTAACTTAGTAGCAATGATATGTTCACCATCACAAGTCAGGTTTTAAAAAGGAATGTCTTGAGCATTAATTATCAAAATTAATTCTTGTTTTTCTTCATGTTGAGAATTAGGCATTATTGGGATGCTGCTAATCTCCACAACCATGCTACCGTGTGCTGTGGTCTCATCAGATCTCACAAGCTAATCCAAGTCAGATTGGGCCAGTCCTTTGATTGAGAAGCCTCTAAATATGATCAGGTGTTACAGGAAGTGATGGCATTGATTCATCAGGTGTTGCCATTCTGAGTGGGTTCTGCGCCAGTACCTCTTCATGAGTGGTGTGGTGGCTTTGTATGTCTGAGTGGTTCTGACCACTGAGCAGTCATGGAGACCCCTTACTTCGGTAGTTAGGGCCTAGGTGAAATGGGTTGTTCATGTGCCTGCCTCAACTAGGGCAACTCCACTCAACCAGAAAGGAGTCAGAAAGCTTCCTAAATTTCACATCTAATTTCAATTGGATCCATTTTTGATTTTTATATCTTTACCCAGCATTTCATATTTAGCTATTGTGTTTTGGTAGCAGATGAAATTAACCCTATATTTTGTTCAAGTAGAAATTTATGAAGCACTTTGATTTCCTTTGGGAACCAGAGTGCTTGATGAATTAAAGATGATGTTGTTCATACCTTATTTGAATATACTTGTCTTTTGACCTTTTTGTATTTGTCACTCTTCTCCTTCCTGGTTTTCAGGCATGTGTGTATGGTGAGGGAGGAAGAGGGGTGGTTATTTAAATGCTAGCAAGCCTTGTCCTTTTGGTGGGTGCTATGGCTTACTCAGTTTTTATTTTTATTAATTTAGATGAGGGTGCCATCTATTGCTGTGCATATTTATTCCACTGAAACTTACATAGTAATAATTCCATCCACCCTCCAAGAAAAATCAAAAGTGTTAGCTAATTTTCCCTAGATTTTCTGCAGGGAGGGAGGAGGAAGCTATTAGTGTTTGTTATGTTTTTGGTAAATGTGGAATTCTGCACAACTTTAGCATGCCCCACACTATCCTTTTCCTTTCTTCAAAGAGTGTTGCTTATGCCTAAATCTTTTTTTTAAGTTGGCACACCCTAACCTGTGCCATATTAATAAGTAAGAACTCAACCCTGTCCTTCTGTGTGTTTTCGCAGCCATGCCCGGTTACGCTGTATGTGCACCTGCAACAGGTGTACATTTTGCATCTGTCAGAACTTCCTCAACTCAGACTTGCTGCAATCTGTAAAGAACAAAATCTTCACTGCAGTTCTTAACAGGTTCTTAACTTTATTTACTGGGTACCAGGCATTCTGTTAAAATACAAAAAAAAAAGTGGATAACTATATATTATACAGATACTACAAAGACAACAAGCCAACTGATGCCTAACTAACTTACACTAAAATTCTCACTGTGATGATATGCTTAGTTTCAGAAGCACCCTTAATAATGTTTGTAAATAATTAGGTATATTTTGAGGACTATAAAATAAGATTTTAGATTTTTTTTCCAATAGGGAATTTAAATTATCTTTCATATTAGAGGATAATATATGTAAGGAAATTAAAATTTTTGGTTACAAGTTGTAGAAATAGATTAGAACTTTTTTGTGTGTGTGTGGTACCGGGGATCGAACTCAGGTCCTTGCACTTGCAAGGCAGGCAGTGGAACCACTGAGCTGAATCCCCAGCCCATAGATTAGTACTTTTGTAATAAGGAAAAGTACATTGATCCTTCCACAAAATGATATTATGGTATACTATATTCACTTTACATTGAGATGTATTCTAGTAAAACTATGCTATTGTGAACAATATTTTGGATTTGAAAAAATTCTCTATTTTTGAAACCATTTGTTACAGTGGTCTCAATAATTAGAATTTATCTTGACTTTTTAAAAAGCGGAGGACCAGGCATGGTGGTGCACGCCTGGAATCCCAGCACTCAAGAGGCTGCCTCAGGAGGATCTCTTTGACTTTAAGGCCAGCTTGAACTACCTAGTGAGACCTTGTCTTAAAAAAAAAAAGTGGATGGGCTGGGGATTTAGCTCAGTGGTGCCGCTGCTTGCCTCGAAAGCACAAGGTCCCAAGTTCGATCCCCAGTACAAAAAAAAAAGAAAAAAAAAAGTGGACCATTTTATTTGAAAGAACATTGTTTCTGGAACTGAGACTAATAACCAACATTAAGGACTCAGAGCAATATGGAAGCAAAAAAGATCTGAGCTTGGTGTGGCATGTGCCTGGGAGGCTGAGGCAAAAGGGTCATGACTTCAAGTCCAGCCTGGACAACTTAGCAAGACGCTGACTTAGAATTAAGGGGCTAGGAATGTAGCTCAGTGCAAAGGCCTGGGTTCAATTTTCAGTAACACACACACACACACACACACACAGCCTGTGCTACTGATTTTTTGAGGTCATTAAAACATGAAATATTCTTATAAGGCAATATGCGTCTTAAAAAGAGGGAGAAAAAGGAGATATATCTTCAAAGCAATGTCCTTGGAAGGTTATATTCTTATCATGCTACCTTTATTTGAGTCAGTTTTATATTTTTTGAGCATTTAAGAGACTAGGTCAGTGATAGCAAACCTTTTAGAGCTTTCAATGATGACAAATAGCCTCCTGAGGCATGCTTGCCATAGGTTCACCACCACTGGCCTAGATTATATTAATTTGTATCTGATATCAAATTTAATATGTGTCTAAGGATGAATAGGTTTTTTAAGTCATTTAAACATCATTGGGAGCTAAGCTTAAGATTGAGGATCAAGCCAAATAATAGAGTTTGGTTAGAAATGGGCCAATTATTTGGTCACTGGTGGACATGTGCTGAGGACTGGAGTCCACCTTTGTCAAATAATCATGGTTTATGTCCACTAGCAATACAGTAGTTGTATCTGTGAACAATGAAGCTATTTCTTAGGTGACTAAAAAACTGATTTTGAAGGCATTCTAAAAGAGTTTCGGTGATATTTTTAGCACTAGCAGCTCTAGAATAAGAATGCAGCCATCTCAGGGGACTCCTTTGAGGGACTCAGTCGTGTGGTGGTGAAGTTCTGCCTCCTTCCTTTGAATGGCATCTTGTGAAAGAGTAACGCAGACCAACATGATTTCCCTGACAGAATGCGCAAGGCTAGTTCAAACCAAACAACATTCAGGAGCTCTGTTGGGAATCTCAGAGCTGGAAGAGATTCTAGAATTCATCTGGCCTAACCTCCTAATAGATTGCCTTCCTAGGAGAATGCTGTTTATTTGCTGATGGCTTTCTTCTTTGGAAAGAGTTTTTGCTTTTGTTTTTATTTTTTTAAACTAAAATGTTTTCCCTATAACTTTCTTTCCTTTAGTTTTAGTTCTGCCCTTTAGAACAACATACAACTATTCTACTCCCTCTTCAACATAGCAATCCTTCAGACATTTGAAGACGGCCATCATGCCTTCCCTAACTTTCTCTTCTCCAGGTAGAACATCCCCATTTCTTTCAGCCTCTTCTTAAATTAGATGTTCTAAGAGCCTCACCATTCCTGGTTGTCCTCATCTGAAAGGCCCTTGAGTTTTCAGAGTTCCTTCTAAGAGGTGCCACTGAGAATGGATGACAGGGCTCCAGCTGTGGTCTGACTATTCCAGAATGGTGGGCCGTCCTGTACCACACTTAGAACAGCACCTGTCTAGTGCATGAATTAACTGTTTAGCAACCTATCCCACTGTCCACATATATTGTCTTGAGGTTAATTGAAATCAGATTTTTTTAATTATGAAGTACTATCAAGGCAGCTGTCCTCCCTCTAATTGTTTGACATTTTCAGTTGACTCTTTGAACCTAAATGCAGATACCTGTGTATCTCTATTAAATGTCATAGTCTTCTTTTGAATCCATTTATTCTAGCTCAGTCATTTCAAACATTATTTCTACCATTTGTCCCATTATATATCTCTCTCAGCATTTTGTTATTTGCAGACTTGGTAGATATGTCTTTCAAGTTACTGGTCAAAAATAATGCTGTACACCCAGAGGTTGGAGAGGAGAAATAAAGTGAGCAAGCCCTATATTACTCCCCAGAGAACTCTTTGCCAGTGACAGGTCTAGGATTCTTGGGGAAGGATTTTTCAACCAGTTAAAAATGTATCATCCAATCCACATTTTAACCTTCTTATCAGAGATTACGGTAAGGGTTTTCCCAAAATCATTGTATAATTTTTACCACATTTCTCTGATCTGCTAGTGTAGTAATTTATCTGACTAGGAAGTGACATCCTCTTAATGTCTTCTTGGTGAACCCACCTTGGCTCCCAGTAATTGCTTATCACAAACCACATGTTTTATTATCTATTCTGGAAGCTCTTGATTGCCCATGATTGCAGATTGATTCATTGTCTGCATCTTTGGTGACAGTTTTTTTTCCTAGTGCAGTTTAATCAGGTTTCAAATGAAATAAGTTAGTTGTGCCTTAAATTCATGTACTTGGGCCGGGGATTTAGCTCAGTGGTGCTGCTGCCTGCCTCGCAAGTGCAAGGTCCTGAGTTCGATCCCCGGTACTGCAAAAAAAAAAAAAAAAAAATTCATGTGCTTATAGTAAATTACTCTATACAGTGATCTTTAAAGAGAAATCAGTGTATTTTGTCATATCTATAAACTAAAAATAATTTAATAGTGTCAGCTCACATCATTGACATCTGATAGTCAGAAATGGAAAGAATGAGAAAGATGAATAGGGAAACCAGTGTGCTTTTCAAAGAACTTCCTTATCCATGTTGGTACTTCATGCATTTATTTGATAGTACAGTGGACTAGCCAGGTGTGGTGGCACATGCCTGTATTACCAGAACTCTGGGAGGCTAAGGCAGGAGGACCGCAAGTTCGAGTCCAGCCTAGTCAACTTGGTGAGACCCTGTCTCACAATAAAATAGAAGGGCCGGGGATTTAGCTCAGTGGTGCCACCGCCTGCCTCGCAAGCGCAAGGTCCTGAGTTCGATCCCTAGTACCAAAAAAATAAATAAAAAGCCCTACTTCAGAAAATGGGATGTAGCTCAGTGTGAAGCCTTAGAGTTCCATCCCAAGTATCACCAAAATAATAAGAAGAAAAAGAATGTAATAAGAAGTACAGTGGAGTTTTAGGGGTTCCATGTTGAAGTTTCTTCAATTTGTAAATGGTTACAGGTTAAGTAAGGTAGGTGGGTAGGGGTAAAAAATTCAAGTTCCTGGAGGATCTGAATACATGTAAATGAATGATGGTGGCTGAGGGTAAGAAACAAGGAGAGGAGGGGTCTGTGACAGCCCTGTCTAAAAGGCAGCCACCTCCTAGCTATATGCCCTTACTGTTGTAAAGGCCAAGGATGCTAGGATTTCTGGTTTTACAGAAGACTAAAAATCAAGATTTTTATGTGACCCTTCCTGATATTTAATGAGTAGCAATTTCAGAAATTTTTAGTGCCCCTCAGAGCAGAGCATGTTTACAGGCTACCAGTTTGGAACTTCAGTCTTAAGATGTGGCCTAGATTCATGAAAATGAGAAAATAAGACACTTAGGAATGAAAATGTCTCTGTTCTCCATGAAGCATTTTATTTCTTTACCATGAAAAAATTTTTGAATGACAGAGTGAGAATGGAACCTCCTTTCCCTATTACTTTTCAGGGCTTGGCAGTCTTTCATTTCTATGGGGTTGCCATGCTAGATGTATCTTAATGTTGCCTGAACAGAAAAAAAATTGGCTAATTAATTAAAAGTCATTTGAAGATTTTTCACTGTACTTCTTTCAATAGGGAGGGCTTCCGCTTAACAGTAAACAGTCTTTGTTTTTGGAAATTAGAATTTCCGTGCTTAGTGTTTGATTCAGAACCATAAAAGATTATAAATGATTTAACATTTTTATTTAGGCATAAACTTTCATTACATAGATGGAAAGAATTAAACTAGCAGACAAATATTGGCCTATATGTACTGGTCTCAAATTAGTATACTGTTTTAGTGTACTAGTACAAAGTTTGGTCGTTGGGATAGAAATTACTACTAGATATTATACATTTTCCCACTTTCTCTCTCCCCTTTCCCACCTTAATTTATTCATTCAGGATACTTAAGTTTCTGCTTTAGACTGGAATCTTTGGGCTGGGGATTTAGCTCAGTGGTTCTGCCACCTGCCCCGCAAGCACAAGGTCCCGAGTTTGATCCCCAGTACAAAAAAAAACACAAAAAGATTGGAATCTGCTGTGAGATAGGGCAGAATTTGAAGATGCAGATGTGTTTTACCTGCTTTTAAATACTTTTATGGAAATTATGTCA